ACTCATAACTTCTGTCGACCAGATGGAATGCAAACATAAAAAGTTTTCAACAGTTCTGCCAGTCTGTTTGAGAGACAAAGTCAATCTAACAATGCCATCTTTTAGTATGTTTGACTATCAGCTCGTTCAAATATGAGCGCTTTTTGCTGCAAAGCAAACAACAACAAAAGTGAGTTCACAAATAAAAACATAATAAAAAAAAAAAAAAACCGTTGCAGTTAAAATGTTTATTTTTGCGAAAGTAGTGCTCGCCTGTCTCCATGGCATACTCGACTGCCAATTATCCTTTATATGGCATGCACACGTCACGCTCCATAAAATTGAAATGAAATACTAAATTTGTGTCGTCATTGTGCTGATTGCCATGAACTGCAATTGCACATGTGACGCAATATTCTGAAGGGGCGCAACGCGTGGCCCAGCTCCCGCCCATAAACATAACGCAAAGTGTACTAAGCCAAAGCATAAGCTCAAAAAATATGAGTGCAGAAACAATGCAATACAAATGCCAAAAAAAAAAAAAACGAAAAGGAAAAAGAGAAGAAATAAAAAAGAAATACAGACGCAGCGTGGCCTGCTGCTAGGTCTGCTGACCCAATAAAGTCTGTGTGCTGGGCAGGCCATGCTCGTATTTTTGCAGTTGAATCAATTTTTCATTTCGTGGCAGGATGGCGACGCCACGCCGTGTCCGGGCAATATGCTCTCTCTCTCTCTCTCTCTCTCTCTCTCTCTCTCTCTCTCACACACACACTCTCTGACTGGGCGCAGACAACGTAATGGCTTAAATATAATGGCGGTCGCAATCAAAAGCGCAAACAATACAAAACAAAACATAAATATGCAGCAAGTGGCCGTAAAGTCATGTGGCAGAGGCAGCAGCTGCTGCCGCGACTCCTGCTGCCACTGCAGGAGGCAACGCTGCAACTAACAAAGGCAAAAGTGTCAGCTCTTAAGCTGTCAGATTGTCAGATTTTCAAATTGTCGAATTGGCGTAACAAATGCCACAAGCTCAACTCTACGCTTTCCCATCTCCATTTCTCTCTATCTCAACTGAGAACTGAGAGCTGTGAACTGGGAACTTAGAATTGCTCATTCGCCGCTCGAGGCGTCAAAAAACAAGAGCTGCATTAAGTTGAGCCACTGCCACTGCCATTGCCATTGCTTTTTTCCCGTCGAACCCAACGCGGCTTGATGCCAGCGCCAATTGTGGCCAACTGAAAAAAAAACAAGTAAGAAGACTCTAGTCGAGACTGCTCGACTAGGAGATACCCTGAACCCTCTAAGCATATATTCTAATCATTCTGCACTTCTTTTATGCACACATACATACACATGCACTTATAAGCACGCGCTCTGCTAACTGCGCAGTAAGCAGCGACTGCGCTTGGGCTGCGCTGCAGTGTGGGCAATATTATGAGAATTTATTTGTCGAATAATTTCTTTTGTAAACATATGATCTTAATGAAACTTTCAGAGTGTAATCATATGGTAAATATGTGTGTACATTCCAAAGCACAAGTCTCTAGTACTTGAAATGCGTTTTTTACAAATTGGGGGAGAAGGGGGCGTGGTATCCAAAATCTGTAAATTACAAAATCTTTGTATCGATTAACTTTATATACAACACAAATTTGAAGACTCCAGGTCTAAAAATGTTCAAATTAGGCTAAAAAAACAAAATCAATTTTTCGATTATTCTCGATAAAAAAGTTATCGGACGATTTATCGAAAAAATAAAGCAAACTCGTACTGCGTATGGTACACACGAGTATGCATGCCAAATTTCAGCTCTCTAGCTCTTATAACTTCTGAGATCGACGCACTCATACGGACGGACGGACGGACGGACGGACGGACGGACGGACGGACGGACGGA